GAATCTGCATGAGTGTTGGACAGTTTTAAGAAAGTCACAAAACACATTTTTCCATGGGGAGGCTCGGACTGGAATGCGTGTTTCCTTGCTCGCATCACAGCCCTGCTCCGAGCACCTCTCCCCTCGTCCAACACGTTCCCTTGCCCGTCCCTTTTGTTAAATAACCGTCTTCCCTATAATGAGGACTGCGATTGTGAAACCACGGCCCTCCCTTCTGCACGGATTCGTCTTGGATCTTTCCTTAGGATCAAAAAGGGGCGTTAATTCGAGAAGGGTGTGTGCTGAGGTTTACAGAAAAGAGGCAGAAGAGAGGGAGGCATTCTTGGTGTCCGGTCCTCAGGCCCCCCTCCCCACCCCGGCCCCCCACTCACCCCCAGCCTAGCCCTGGGCTGGAGCTGCAAAGCAGGGGTTGGAGCTCTGGGTTTCCCTAATCAAAGTGTCCTCATTACCGACCTTGCCTGTTGTCAGGTTCAGAGATTCTGAAGAAGGCTTTTCCCCGTGGTTGGTTCTTTGGGTTGGAGGACAGGCACAAGCCAAGGGCGCTGAGATGGGAGGAAACGTTGGCACTCGGGTGGGGGCAGTGAAAACCGCTCTTTGAAGAAGCGCTAGCAAGGCTGTTTGGAAAGAGAGCCCTGGCCAGCACCATCAGGCCAGTGGTGCACGGGCCCCTTTTTGCAGTCAATATTTGCTCTGGTTCGGCACTGCCTTGTCCACCTCGGGAGGCCAGCGGAAGTGGGTGCCTGACGGCCTCCCGGGCATTCTCCATCAGGAAAGAGGGCCGGAGGATCCCAGGACAACTGGCAAAGCTCATCCTAGGCCCAGAAGCAGTGGAGAGGAAGGGGCCGGTGTGCGGGAGCCAACAGAGGCCAACCTTGGCCATGACCCTCAATCACCAGAGGTCAGCTGTGGGTCATTTTCAAGGTCCCCACCTCCCCCACTGCAAAGGCTCTGTTTGCAGAGTGAGCGACAGGCCTCTGCACAGATTCTGAAAGCAATAGTGAAGTTCTCCACTCCAGGGTTTGGGCCCCTAATCACACCTCCTGTCCCCTCCCAGTGCCCTCCCTGCTGATCACCTGGGCCACTGGGGAGCCTCAGAGGACACTGCCCTGGGGCCCAGAAGCAGTCGCTCAAGATGAGGTGCTGGACCCAGTGAGTCACCCAGCCCCAGTTTAAGTGGAGTTGGAAGCTGGGATGGGGAGAAGGGCTGGAGGCAGGGCGGGGCGGGGGGGGGGTGCTTCATTGGAAGGCTGGGAGTTTCTTGGTCTCCAAGCCTGGGGAAGATGAAGGCAGGGAGGCCGCCGAGTTTGCGCCCTCTCCCGGTTTGCTTAGGCTCCCCTCCTCCCCTCCCATAGCCCATCCACCGCCCTAGCCCTTTTCTGCACCTAATCTGCGGAGCACAGCCGCCCTGAGTTGAGCTTGGCTGCCCGGGACTTGGTAGCTGGAACCGAACGCCCGGTGCGCAACTCACGCACGGGGGTCCACCAAGAGCTTGCAGCAGGTGCGCTCCGAGTGGGGCCGCGCCGACTGGAGCCCGGAGGGTCCCGGAGGTCCCTCAGGGCCAGCTCTCAGCTTTAGGCCCGCCGCCGGAGCCTAGAGCAGCTGGTGCTTTCCTGGATGCCCGCTACTCAGACCCCAAAACGCGGCGGGCGCCCGGGGGCGCTAACGACAACCGCGCTCGGCGCTCCCCGCGCCCCGCGCCCACTCGGGCGCCCTGGCTTCAGCTGGGGGCTCGGGTTTGTGCTGGAATTTAGTGTAGGTGTTCCGGGAGGGAGAAGTGCGGGGCGGGGTTGGGGGGCGGAGCGGAGCCGGGCTCCGGGAGTTATCAAAACTCCCTGCAGAATGGGCTCACAGAGGGAGGAAGCGGGGGCCGCCCTTCCGTGGACCCCCAACCCACCCGCGAGCGTCCCAATCTTCCCAGAGTAAGATCATCCGCGGCTCCAGATCATTTCATTTTTGCTCTATTAATTTTCCGGCCCATTTTTCTAATTTTTTTTTATCTTTCCTGCCTTGGTTAGAGACAGAAAAAGAGCAAAGAAGGAAATCCAGATAGCAAGCTGCAAAGTCTCGGAGGAGCTCGGTTCGCTCTGGGCTTTCCAGCGCATAGTTGGAAGCACCTTGCACACCAAAGGCGGCTCACACCCTTGATTAGAATTCTCCCACAGGGCCGGGTGCGGGTCTGGCTTTGCTTGAGTTCACCACTGGGGAACGCGGCTCCGGAAGGAGCCCAGGCGCTCAGGAACTGTCTGAAGGCAGCAGACGTTAAAAAGGCTAATTCCAGGAACGGTCCCTTGCTTGCGAGACTCTTACAGGAGCCTTCAGTGTGGGAGAACAGTTCAGCGAGGAAGGAAAATGAATCTCGGCTGTTCTCTTTCCCTTTGTCTTAGGGGAGGATTTATTAGGGTGCAGATAAATGTGTTGAAACTAAGAAGTGACACGAGTATATAGGACATTGTTACTCTGTCAGATTTGCAAAAATCAGTTGTGATAGCAAAGGGCTCTGGAAACCTGGAGTAGTTACGCTAAGATTACATCTACTACAAGATGTTGTTTCTGTCTTTCCATTTTCAGACAATGAGTTGGACATAGTCTTTCATTTGCCTTCTGTCATTTTATTTTCTTATTTTATTTTCTTTTATTTTATTTTGGTGAAGCCCTTTGAAGCAACACATTGCAGGGAGCGAAAGCTGCTAAAAGACAAAAATGTAGTTTCCGCTTTACGAAATAAAAATGATCCCAGGCACACAGATGACCAGACACCTGCCTGGCCTACAGAATGTGTCTTAGAATGATCTTCCCAACTCAAAGACAGGCAGCTCCCTTTGCCGGACTTCCTGTGACCTGGCAGTGTGGAGACATGCTCACCGTCTGCGACAGGCTTGCAGGGTGCAGTGTCCACACGCGCTCGCCGCGCTGTGCAGGGCCTGAGTTCTTCTCCATCCTCCTTGCGACATGGGTGCTTCCTCACAGGCTCTCAGAAATGCTCTTCAGCGGTCAGCTGAACAGATCCAGGTTTAGGAGCCTCTGTGCTATCGGACGATCGTGGTCCAGCTCAAAAGTGAGCCCTCCCTGCCCTCACCACACCGCCCACCGTGACCGGCCATTCCGGTATGCAACAACCCTTTGAACGTAGATGCAGGGATAGCAGGTGGGTTCCCCAGGTAGCCAGAGCAGGGGTCATCTTGAGGAAAATGACCCAATGAGCTAAGAAGGATGCAAGCTTTATGAGATTTCAGGCCAGGTGCCAAATATCGCATTTAATGAGGCCTGATTCTTTTCCTCCAAAAATAATGTAGACTCTCAAAGATACGGTTAGGACGGCAGAAGGGGCATTTTGCAAAGCCTCCATCCAAATATTGCTTTGTAATATTTTTCTAAAATTGAAAAATGCCTCACAAGTATATGATCTCACGTTAATACTCCTTCCCGAAGCTTGACATATGTTTGCAAACACCCCAAAGGAATTGCAAAAATATTCCCTCCACAGTCTCTTAAGCTTTTAAACTTGATTCACTTGCATTTCTAAAAGAATCTGTTGTTTCTAGCCGTTTTAAAAAATCATCTTATATGAGAACTTTTTTATTTTTATTTTGCAGCAATTTACCATCTGAACTTTAAAAATAGAGAATAACTTTTTTACTGATATGCCTGCAGGTTTTATCATTTCCGTTTCTTTCTTGTTTCTTTTGTATTCCTTTTTTTTCCTGGCATAACAATAATTTATAATGTGTACTAGGACACGAAGAAGAGTAGTTTGTCCCTTTGTGTTTCCAAAGCATTTGCACTATGAAAGGTGAATGAAGATATATAATGTATGGGGGCAGCTTTGACAGCTACAAAGTACTCGTTGGTTTGTCCCAGTATTCAGGGCATAGTCTTACTATTTAGAGAAAGGGCATTGCAAGAAATAGAGTTACACTGAATGAAAATTTAAGTAAAGCAAGCTTTTATGTTTAGTTACAGCAGGTGTGTGAGTATAGCCTATTTGTACATACCAATTGTGTAATGTAAGCTAGAAAGAAGCGTTAGGGATTAAAGAAAAGGAACTGAATATTCATGTTGGGAAAAAAATTAGATTGATTTCCTAGTTTATTGCAGTCATTGTACACAGACTTGCTGTAGCCGTGTTGAATTTTCTAAATTAGATTTTAAATATATTTTGACAGTCTGAACTTGCATAGTGTGACTAACTATAGGAAGAAATGACAAATCTGCTTTGTTATTAAACTGCTGTCTAGAAAATATTGGGCTCTGTACAGTAAATGATAATTATTTTGCCACTTACATTAGTACAGCTAATAGCAGGAAGGGTTTTTTGAACCACAGAAAGCTAACTACTTTGAATTACTCTGCTTTGTTATTCACTGTGAAGCAAAAAGTCTTTTTTAATTTTTAAAAAAAGCAACCTCATTTTCATGTCATCGTTCTAAGCACTGCCTGCTACTAAGTTAGACAGAGAAGAAGTTAATACATCAAGTGGTGTTATCTAAATGGTTGTGTTTGTTAAGAGGACATTTGCAGTTAGGGTCACAGTGCTGGCAGAGCAGATCAGAGCAAGGGGCCAGGTGGGGAAGATGGCAGAGAATGTGTCCTTAACCGCCTGTGAAAGCCGACCATGAGAGGCCCGTTAGAAGTGATTCGGATCCTCCCCGATCTTAACCGGGAATCCCTTGGTTCCCTCTGATCTGAGGACAGCTTCAAAGCTGAGCCAGGCTGCCGGCTTAGGGGGGGATCTGTGGCTGGCTCAGCCTCGCACGGTGGGGCACAGTGGATGGGTGGGAGCAGGCTTGCGTTGCCGGCGGCCATTCCCTTCCATGTCACCCCTCACCTGGCTGGCTGGGCTGAGGACCACCATAGCGAAGCAAGGGGGATTCACCCACCCTGCTTTCAGCCCCCATCGGCCCTTTCCATACTAGTCAGCCTGCCTTTAGCATACTGTACACGAAACGTTCTTCATGGTTATTAATTACCCTTTGTTTATTTTAATATATTTATTAAATCAGGTACCCAAGGGAATCCTCTACATCAGTGATGTGAAAAATCCAGTTGCCTGAAGTCCAAGAGGTACATCTTGATTTTTGATCTGCATGTGCTTGTTTTAATTAGTTCTACATGATGGGGAAAGTAAGCAGCAAGGAATGCTAAGGCTTTAGGTGTGAGCATTTGCTGTTTTTGAAGTTTGAGTATTTGGGTCTTGAGGGTGACGTGAATGGTGACACGAGGTGCTGCAGAGAGAGGACACAACATGTGTGTGGGAACAGCATGCGTGTAGTGTCTGTGTTTATGTCATTGTGTAGATGTGGCATATGGAGTAACTAAGCTCGTTTGAGTAATGTATTCAGACAAGAGTCTACTGACGCTCAAACAACCATCCCTGCCTCTTGGGTGACTGCGCCACAGGCACCCACTGGCCTTGGTCACCGGGACCTTGTCAACATTCCCAATTGAAAGCCACTTAGAATTCAATCCGTACTCACATGTGGAAAATTTAGTAGACATTCAAAGCACAGATATTGCCCTCTCTGTGCCCAAATGTGACTACAGACCTACACTCTACTCCCATTGTATGCAGAAGGCAAAGGGAGGAGACGGATGGAGTTAGCAATCTGATTTTCATCTACTAAGAAAATGAAATTGAACTATTTAAATGGGCTTTCAATGCCGAGTAGCCCAGTGTGAATTTAATTGTGAGCCCTCTTCGTTTGAAGAGCTAGACCAATATTCTTCCATCAGTAATTATTCTGAGTCATAGTTTTAGATATTCTTATTACCTCTTATTGGTTAATGGAACAAAGTAGTTTTTTTTATTCAAAGTTTGCTTGCTGAGAAATTTGCATGAAATACAATTTTGGGTTTCTAGAGAAACTGAAAGGGGCAAACATCACACTGTCAAATTGCTACTCTTTGCAGAAGAGGCATTTTAAATATGCAGTGAATTGAGAGCACTGGGGACAAAAATCACATTTTCCTCACTGTTCAAAAAAAGTATCTGATTACTTACCCCTACACGCTGCTGTGGTGAGAGCCTTTCTTTGAATAACTGGATTGCGAATATTTAATATGACTACTTTGCTAGCCTTATTCAAAATTAACATTTGCTTTAATAGTTCTCATGCAAGTTTAACTCAGGGTACACCTTTATGGTTGACTTGTGTGTCCACGTGTGTGCATGCAGCGCCAGTACTTCCTTCCTCTCTTGTCCCTGTCTATATAAGTGCACCCTGAAAGCCACCTGTTAAACATGATGCTCTAGGCCCCGCAGCAGGAGTTGTGACATTGAAACGACACGTTTTGAGCACAGAGCTTCCAAGCTTTAAAGGCAAGTTTCCTACTCCTCCTGATGTTCCCACTACCCCCACCTCCCGGCTGTACTTCATATAAGGTTACTGGTGGGAGAGAAATCAAATTTCAGCTGTAAACATGATTGACAGGTGAGAGTAAGGAAGAGAAAGGTGTTGGTCAGGCGGGGAAGCTGGTGAGGAGGACAGTTCCTTGAAGTATAATAACCTAAGTTATTATAAACTGGTGTATGAAAAGCTCAGCCCTTGGTACTCTTGAGCGAGTTACTTAGTTTATTTTCAGAAGTCACTTTGGCTAAAGGATTTCAGTAGTGGAAGCCAAAAATGGTGAACCACTAGCTTTTCTGCTCTCTTGCTAATTTCAACCATGTACAACTTCGTGGCTTATTTTTGGCACTTTTCTAGGCTGGGGTATGAAAATTAAATCATAAGCCATTTGGGGAGCCATTTAATTACTTTCATTTATTCTCAGAATCACAGTCTATGTGAATCACATACTATGGTTCTTGGGTATATTACAAAATATTCATCCCAAGTGGTAGCTCACAAAGATTAAATTTAGCATCCCTTGCTCCCAACTAACACTTTCCATTAGCGCATGTTACAGCTCCACGTATGCAAATCAGGTGAAATGCATGGGTTTTAAGGCTGTGCTTTCTCAAGAAAGATCTTCCCGTGAGAAGATCAGCGTCCACCACGTCCGCCCTGTGTGTCCATCTTTCACCCAATCTGACTGTGTGATGTCAATTGTTCCATGATAGCACAATTGACCGAGGAGTGACCATTGCCATGGAAACACGTCACGGTGCTACTTGACCCTCCCATGAAGGGTGGCTTTTGAATGAGCCTCGGAGGCTGGAGTCGGCACAAGGAGATAACACCAGAACTCATGGTTTGCATCAAGGTGGAAAGTAGGCCTTCCTAACACGTTCTTGCAGCGTAAACCCTGACACACAGACTCAGAGGGTAGTGACCCTCAGCCTGCCCACGTCTACGCTCGGCCCATTTCAGATACTCTTGACCTTGGCTAAGACCCATCTGGATGCAACCAAGCCTTACAGAGCTGGCTTGGGGTGGGGCAATTGGAACACATACAGAGGGGAGAGGCCCATTTGTAGCTCCTTGTCACACACTGGAACCTCTGATGGAATTTGCATAAACAGTACTTCCTGGTTTTAAGGACCTGTCATTTTTTCTCTGATGTTACAATTGGCAAAGTACACTTGTTTTTCCCTGACTGTACTAATGCTGATTCAAAAAGTCTACAGGTGCAAAAAAGACTTTTATTTTATGAACTGGGGTGAACAAAACAAAAACAGTAAAAGGACTCAGAAATCTTGTTTCTGTTTTGCATACCTGTCCTCCCATGATGCCCCAAATCATCCAGAAACCAAAAGCAAACCTGCTTTCCCCTGGCCCAAAGTCAGTGCGGCTGCCTTGGCACAGGTGTGTAGTTGTGTGGTTCAGCTGTACATGTAAAACACCATAACCTGGTTTCCCTCGCACAGGTCATCCAAATACTTTAACAGCACTGGGGAGCTTGGAATTCTCGTGCAGGGAACAGGTGAAACCAACACCATGAGTTCCGATTTCTTGCTGCCTCTACCTGCAAAGCTTAAGTGGCTAGTCTTGACCCTGTCGTCACTGTAGGCGTCTCAATACTCAGATTGTAGCACAAGTCCCATCCCCTCCATGCCAGCGAAGAGAATGCTGTGTTGCTTGCAGACTTGGAGCCAGGGGCGAGCAGAAGCTCACCAATTCCAGGAGTCTGTCTCAAGCACACTGCCTCAGTATATCTTTTGGCACTGAGAAAATTAGGGTAAGCAAGTCCCCTACAAAGTGTTTGCTGCTTCAGACTCACTCTAATTGTTTGTTGTTGCTGTTGGGAGCTTATTTGGGTTATGTTCCTCCCTAACTACCGTGACAACCCCTTTCTGGAGGGGCGGGCTACTGTTTGTTTTTCCGTGGACGCTGGCCGAACGGAATTAATCCCTTAATTAGAACAGGAGCCAATGCAGAGAAAGGAGCCTAATGATGCCACAGGAACACGAATGATCTTCGGTCAACACCGGGGTACTGCTGGAGGGGCGGACTTACAGAAAGAAACTTTGTGCATTGGGGGGGGGGCGGGGGGAGGCGGAAGGGATTTCTGCAGAGGTGCAGCATCATGGCTTAAAGCGAAACGCTGCTTCTGTTAAGAGCTGTCGTCCTGAAAGGCACTCGCAGTCCCCCGCCAGCATCTCAGATTTACTGCCGCCCTTCCAGATGCCAGTGTTCAAGCTCCCTTCACCTGTCTCTTGCTGAGTCTTTCATTTTCTCCATCCAAAAAGGACTGTCAAGATGATGCTTTGCGTCTGTGCTTTGCCTGGCGTCTATTGAAATTATCAGCAATAAATGAGCTAAGCACCTGGATCGAGGGGTTTGGTTGGTGCGTTTGTGTTCCGTCTCCATTTCGCAGGATTTGGAAAATGCTAGCACGGGGTGGGGAAGCCAGTCGGAAACGCGTTCTCTTTGCAGCGTCTACAGGAGAGACTCGTGTAGTAAACATCTCGGCTCTTACACCCTTCCGGAAGGGACTAACACCAGGTCGGGGAGGGGAGGGCCGAGTTTCAGGGGCTCATTGGGAAAATCCAGCAGCCATGGGATACACAGATACAGGGCAGCCAAGGTGGCGCTGTGCAGGGACCTCGGGTGCAAGGTACTGGCAGCTGGTAACACCTGCTGAACAGTCCAGGGCCACCTCCTACAGCTTAACCCGCGGGGGGTGAGACCCACAGGTGGAGGGGTGGTTGCTTGGTGGGAGTCCATTCTCTCCCATCTCCCTCAAGCAGCTTTGTCTGATAGTGTGGGTATTCCATGCAGCTGGTGACCAGTCCCGTTTAGTGACTTCAGTCTCTGGAAAAGCACAGCAAGTTCATTTGCTGGAGTAGGCAGTGGAGGTGAGAATTGAACTGATCTAAAACGCTCTGAGAAATTGACCCTCTGGTCACTCTTCCTTTAAATCGGGTTCCACAGACAAAGTTTCTTTTCTTCCCAGGCTCCTGCCTGCTGGCAGCAGCACAGCTAGGTTAGGGTTTGTAATTATTTAAAGGGATTCTGTGGCTGGGGTTGACTCCTCCTCCATGAAGTTAATCAAAATAGAGACCTTTCCCTTCTGATGGTAGTTAATTAAAGGGCTCCAGCATATATAGCTGTGGTGCATCTCCGGCTTGTTTCTATTAGAGAATGAGGTGCCTTCCTGATACACAGGGAACGGAGGAGAAAGATAACCGGGCTGAACGTCTTGAGAGAACAGGATTGTGTGTTTGCTCTCTTTACTTCTTTTCCTTCTCTTGTTTTAATGGAGCCAATGGAATCCTCCCCAAACGTCCCACGTTGCACGCGGTGGCTTGATCAGTGGTTGGAGGCAGGTGCTGCGTTAGCGTGCACCAGAGTCCCGGGGACGGCTTGCTTGTTGCTGTCCTGCTCTCTCGGCAGTGGGCAGTGAGGTAGCCCAGGGAGATCAGAAATCCCGGCACTCGCGCTGACTTTGTTGACCCAAGGTAAGAGCTGTGTCCTCTTCCTTTGCTCTGGGGGGTAGCACAGACCTGAAGTTCTGTCTCCCCCATGCTCGGCGGCTGTTTTGTTTATTTGCGACTCATTTTGCCCAGACGTCTTCCTTCTTCTCTTCTGCTTAGAGTCCCCAGAACCGGTTCTTGCCAATGCTCAGTGGAATGAAAGTCTGAACCATGTGGGCCAGCACAAGACCTGTGCGTTTTGAGGCCT